ACATATATTTTTTATTTTTTTGGATTTGTTTTATATTTTTTATAATGTTTTGACCTTTTTTTGTTGCTTTAGTACTGAGCACTAATTGGGCTGAGTTTCGAGAACTCTAACTCAGCCCGAGTAATCGGCTCGGAACTAGGCCCTAGTAATCGGCTCGGGCCAAGGCTAATTAATCGGTTAGAGTCACACTTTCTAACACTGATCCTACTTAAAGAAAAGAGATTTTTTTTTTTCTTTTTCTTTTTCTACTATATTTTTTTTGCATTTTGGCTAAATGGTTTGAAGCCGTTTTCGCCTTAGAAATACTTCTTGCTCACGACAAGGAGGCCCCCCGCCTCCCTGTCTCCACAGCAGAAACCTTTCTTTATGACATTCTTTTGTTTAACTTTTCCTTACTCTAATTTTTTTAAAGTATTATGGTAGTGCACTCATACATATAAGTATCTTTTTATGGCAATCAACATCTTCTTATGGCAATCAACAATTTTGGACATCTGATACCATTACTACAAGAAACTCCATCTAGTAGTAACATTTTTTTCTAGAATTATTTTAAATAATTAATCACAGATACAATATAAATTCTTGATAGAGAGAAAATAATTTATTAACTATAATAGAGGAAGTTCAAGCAACCTCAAAAATTCATTTTATTTGAAGGTTGTTCTACAAGGTTGCGATCTTGTCAAAACCACACCCCATGAAAAATGGTTAATCACAATTTGTCACTTTATTGTTTGATTCATGTGAGTCGTTTTACTTATTTGAGTATCATTGATGAGAGTAGTTTTAGGTATTTTAGTATTCACCAGACATGGTTTCCACCTTCCTTTTTCTGTATAAAAGGTCGAGATGAATTGTTACTCTCTTTGAGTCGGCGACAATGATGAATAGTTCATCTCCACCATCTAATACTGAGATTGATGGTTCGATGATACATATCAACAAGTCCCATTTTGAATGGAGATGGTGGAAATGAATGGTTCGTCTATTTGAGTAAGCAACACCAAGGAATAGTCCATCACCATGGGTGGTAACGGGTCGGGTTAGGTTTGGGCTGAGACCTAGACCTGGATCCAAAGTTATCAGACCTAGACCCAGGCTGGACCCGACCCTAAAAGCCAGATATATGTATATTAAATATATGAAATTTTTTTATATAGAGCTGAGGCTCTAAACAATCAAATTTGAGCCTACCTCAAAAATTTCACTAGAAGAGGTTATCTTGATACCCAAATATCCTGAAGCTGATCATCTCGACATCAAGATACATGAACATGAGAAAAATAAATTTCAAGTTTTAGAAATAGTGTATTTTGTAACGCATTTCTGGACTGTCAATTTTCAAGATTTTCATAGATCTGTTGATCGACACTATTTTTTATCATCTCAACATCTAAATACATGAACATGAGAAAAAAATAAATTTCAAGTTTTAGAAATAGTGTATTTTGTCTCATTTCTTGACCGTCAATTTTCAAGATTTTCATAGATCTATTGATCGACACTATTTTTTATCATCTCAACATCCAGATACATGAACATAAGAAAAAAATAAATTTCAAGTTTTAGAAATAGTATATTTTGTAACGCATTTTTCGACCGTCACTTTTCAAGATTTTCATAGATCTGTTGATCGACACTATTTTTTATCATATCAACATCTAGATACATGAACATGAGAAAAAAAAAAAATTTCAAGGTTTGGAAATAGTGTATTTTTTAAGCTATTTTAAGATCGTCAATTTTCAAGATTTTTAAGTTTTCATAGATCTGTTGATCGACACTATTTTTGAAGCTTTAAACTTTATAGATAAAGATAAAAATATATTTTCTGTATTGAAACCACATTTTTCGACACTATTTGGTAGGCTCTATACAAACTGCATCCTTACTTGAGTATTGTAACTAAAAAATGTAGTTATATATTTTTATATATTATTAAATTATTACATATTATTTAAATATTAACACTCGTCCGGTCAGGTCGAGTCTACATGGACCAAGACATGCCCGAATAGTGTTTGGTTCCTTTTTGGACCCATACCCGGATACAGGTCGAGTCTAGTCATCAGGTCTTGTGTAGGGTCGTGGTCCATTGCCACCCCTACCACTAGCTATCAAATGAGTAGCAGAGTCACCCCTCATTGTTAGATTAGACGATGCATAAGTGGGAGGTGTGACATTGGCTATACCTTTTTTTTATTTTTAATTTGGGTAAGTCGATGGGGAAAAGCCCCAATACCCGAATTTTTTAATGATAGATAATGAAAAACATATTAATTTACAAATATATAGTAAGGTAGTTACGCCAAGTCATGTAATAAAAGAAGAGAAAGAAAGTCTGTAAAACGACAACGCCAAAGTGTGACATTGTCTGTAGTCAAAAGCATTTAATTCACATCAGATATCTATAGGTGATTGTGACATTTTTAGGAAAAATTATAAATAACCCCCAAGATTAGACTTTCTATGTAAGTTACCCCCAACCAAACTGTTTTTCTCACATTTTTTCCCTAAAATACACTTTGATAGCCAATAACCCCAACCCCAAAAAAAACTTACTTTAAACTACGCCTCTCTCTCATCTTTCCTACGAAAAGGTGGTCCGGCATATTCTTAGAACGGTCCGGTAGTATAATGTCGGTCCGATAAATAACAGTGTCGGTCTGGTAGTACAAGTTAACGGAACAAAAAGGGGTGGCAATTAGAGAGACACTTTGGCATTTGCTACAAGGGTCCGGCGTTTGAAAAGTGCGGTCCAACACTCATTTTTCTGGATTAAGGGGTCCGACAATTCAAAGCTCGCTCCGGCATAAATGCAGGGGTCCGACAATTCGATGGCACGGTCCGGCAATTTCTACTCAAGTCTAACAGTCCATGTCAAATCCGACCAAAAGGTTTTTATGTATACGGGAAAGGCATTTTCATCTAAGAAAAATATGTATTTTGACTTGGGGGTATAAACTTTATAAAATATATAATAATATGTATTATTATGTAACATATATTGTATATTTATATTAATGTTATACATTAAATTGTATATATTATATATATTTGTTATCCTATATATAATGGGAAAAGTTTTTATAAGGTTGCAACCTTAAATTGTAGAATCACAAATGCACCTCAAAAATCTATCGGAAATGTTGTTTTAAAGTTGAAAAAGCCCTCTAATCAATCATCTCAATATTGAGATCTATGAATATAACAAAAAACAAGGTTTTTGGATCTCGGAAATAATGCATCTTGCAACACATTATCTAGACTGTCCATTTTCAAGATTTTCATATATTTATAGATCTACTTAATTTTAATCATTTTTTATATTTAAAATTTTCTAATTAGGTATGAAAATAGATTTTAAGATAATACTAAGAATTTTTTACAATAAAATTACATGTTATGATAAAATTTTAAGGTGCTCCTTAATTAGATTGTTTAAGGTTGCAACCTTATAGAAACCACATCCATATATAATAGAACATATCTATTCAAGGTTTTGTGTAAATATTTCCACTCCAACCAAGCACTACCAAACCCATGAAACTGTTTACACAATACCTTTTAAATGTGCTATCAAACATGGTAAAAAGAATGCATATGCAAATATTTACACAAGTAAAGCATTTACATATACAAATATTTCTTGGGGAATATTTACGCACAAACCAAACGTACCCTTAGTGATTCCTTAATCACCCATTGTTTGTCGACATTTACAACAGGCCATGACGCCTACTGCTGTGACTGATACTTCAATGGAATCTAAACCCTTGTTTTATGCGAATACTTATAGTATGGGCAACATGCGTTATAGTATAAATGCAGCGTATACTAGTTTTCATGTTTCTTGATTTAGTTTCATTTTCATTTTAGCATGGGCCATGGTTATTACCTTGGGATTAGACGAACTAGAAAGAGAGGCAGCATTGACGATAGTTGGCATTTGATCAATTGAAGATAGCCGGCTCGGCGTTTGCTGGAGTTTTGGTACTCAAGGTGATGTTGAGAGCTTTGTTTGGTGCTGTATATTGGGTGCTCAAGGTATTGAAGATAACTTTCTCAAGAGGCAAGGATGCTGTATGTGAGGTGCTCAAGGTGATGAAGAAAGCTTTCTTTGAAGGCAAGGGTAGTGGCAAGACCATGAGAGCTCCAGGGAGACCTTTTTGCATTTCTCGAAGCACATTTGCGAGTAACCCTAAAGCCTATTTTCGCAAATTGTACAGTGATGGTTTGTGATATGAACTAACAATTTGCAAGTGTATGGTGAAATTATGTGTCAAGACTTCCATGCCCAAGTAAGGATGAAGAACCTTATCTGACAGTTTTGGACTGTCGGTGGTCTTTCTCTGTGCTGGTTTTTCATTATAGTGCTTTCACATAGAGTGGTCTTTCTCCTTGCTGGTTTTTAGTTTGAGTGCTGTCACTATCTATGGATGCGTTTTACTCCATGATGTTGTTTATGTGAATGGTGATAATGCATATGGTGTTGTTTTTGACATGTTAATGGGGGCATGACACCCTTGGCATACCTAAGGGCCAATTCCTTATCCACTAATACCTCATAGTATTTCTTAGATAATACTGCTGGTAATTTGCTTCGAAGTATTAATTGATATTACTCCGTGGATATTGCTTTTTGATAAACTAGCAATTTATGAATGGGATTATCAACAAAGAGACCATTTATCTCATCAAATAGTTCTCAGGTGATTTTGATTAGTTGAGATTGATAACAAACAAATCCTCCCAAGTCGTCTTGTTTGAGGGAGCGTGTGTATAATTTGCTCCCCTGACGATATGAAATGTACATCCTTATCATTAATAGGGACCTTATTAGAAACTATATTTTTGTTAAGCCCCATAGAAGATGTATTGTTGAGCTTATCAAAGATGTGAACAAGCGCCTCAATTTATAAGGTTATAAAGTTGTGTACTACTAAATAAACTAATATATGTAATGAACCACCTTTCTAATATGGGTACACATAAAAAGGAAGGAAAATATTATTCCTAAAATAAGTACAAATTTCTATATTTCCATGTTCTCCCTCAAACTCAAGATCCATTAAGAGATGGCAACTTGAGTTTGGACATCTAAAGGCAGGCCTTAGTAAGGAAGCAGAAACAGAAGAAGCTTGAGCAGCTACAAATTAGCAATCTGCAGAAACTGATATCTCGAATGGAGCAGTCTTGCATAACAACAAATCAACAGGCATCTGAAACAGACATGATCGAGTAAACTTGATCATCACACAGGATGTAGTAACAAAAAACTCTATCATCTAAGAAGATTGAGTAATGAAAAACTCAATCATTAAACATAGGCATCCTGAACAGACAAGATCGAGTAAACTCGATCATCACACATGATGGAGCAATGGAAAACTCCATTATCCAATAGGATTAAATAAAGAAAAACTCAATTATCAAACAGGATCAAGTAACAGAAAACTTGATTATCAACCAAGATCGAAAAATTCGATCTTCAAACATGATGCAATTGGAAAAGGCAACAGAAATCAGCGGCAAATCAACATGCACGGTTGGACCATAGATTCGGTGTTGAGAACAGTAAGATCCAAAACAGATAATAGAGTCGAACATGACTTGACAGATAGACAAATCAGAGAGTCGAAACATGACTCGGTGGTTAGTTTGTAGACGGTGCAGAGCAATTGTTTTCAGAGGCCATTTTCAAAGGTGAATTTAGTGGTGGGTTTGAGATCCAGCTCACCAAGGGTCCGACATTAGAGGGGAGCACAACAACAACCGATGCCAAATAAAGAGAGACGCAATCAGATTGAGGGATTCACTAATTAGAAAAACTGGAAACAGAGGTCCCATCGCATGTACATAGAGGTGCACGATCACTTTTGCAATGCGGGTAATGAAAAATGCTTCCAATAAAATCATTCCAAAGTGCACCGTGACTTATGCTAGTAGTATTCAACCATTAAAAAAGGCAAGGAGACCTATTGACTATTCAAGAGATATTGAACCGATTTAGAAAGGTAAGCAAGGGAATGAGTAAATAATAGTTTTTAGAGCGAGAGAAACAGAGAAAGAATTAACAAAAACGGGATGAGGTCTTGTGTTCCAACCAGAATATCCTTGCTCCAAAATATTTACCTATAAGGCACGCCTTGCCTTCCACGCTCACCGCACCAAAATATATGCCTTTCAACGTAGAAGTAGCCTAGGGTAGCCCACCATCCGCCATTACAGAGGCTTAACTGCACCATCGACGACTCAAACAACATGCCCCACCATCCTCTCTCTCTCTTACTCACCAAGAGAGTATTCCCCTCTGTGCACAGACCAAGACCATCGGATAAGATCGTCAACAGCTCAGATCCTCTCAATCCACTGGTTTTGCCCTCCTTGAAGAGAAGGGACTTCTCGAATATGAAGAATTGGTTTGCGAGCTTGTAATAGTCGCTAGGGCTAGTGTTCAGGTTTTGAGAGAGGAAATTTTGAGCTTGAGCAAGGAAGGTTAGAGCTAAAGGCTTATGATGAGTCACATGCAGTTGCAGAGCGAGCAATTTGGAGATCGAAGAGAAGCTCCTGCTCTTCATCACCGAAAAACTCTCTGAATACCACCCTTTCGAAGCAAGAAGCGGCTAGGTTGTACTTTTTCAAGTCATGCCATATCAGGCCTATTTTATAATAGAAAGATGGCCCTTTAATGGTGGGAGATGGAATTCCAGTTGGATTTCCAGCCAAAACCAGGAGATCTGTGGCTATCTGATGAAGCTTTGCTTGTTCCGCATCAGATTTTGGCTGTAATTGTTGGTGAAAATTTTTCGGCAACAACTGATAGAGAGTTTGTGAGATCAACACAAGTGTTCTCAGAACTCAAATGTGCTATGGAAATTTGAAAAGCAAATCCAAAGAAAATTTGCAAACGAAACTATTCTAAGGAAACTTTTGATGAGATTTGCAAGCAAATCTAAAGCAAATTTGCGAAGAAAATTTTCAAACGAAACTTGTGTGGTTGCAAACGCAACTTTTGACGAGACTGTTGTCGTAGGAATCTTGTGTGATTGCAAACGTTGGGGAAAAACTTCTGTGGTTGCAAACGAATTGGGGAGTTATTGGTAAAGGAATTGAGTCGATGGTACTGGAATTTGGGAATAAATGGAATATGTGGCTCTAATATCTGGCTAGAAATTGTATTTCTGTATGATTGAGCTTTAAGTTCATGGAAATGTATTATTGAGCTTTTCAAAGATGTGAACAAGGGCCCCAATTTATATAGTTACAAAGTTATATACTATTGAAGAAACTAATATATATAATGAACCACCTTTGGGTACACATAAGAGGAAGGAAAATATTGTTCCCAAAAAACGATTACAAAGTTGTATTCTACTAAAGAAATTAACATATGCAGTGAACCACCTTCTTAATATGGATACACATAAAATGAAAGAAAATATTATTTCCAAAAAAAAATTACAAAGTTGTATATTACTAAAGAAACTAACATATGAAATGATCCACCTTCCTAATATAGTTATACATAAAATGAAGGAAATTATTGTTCTAAAAAATAAGTACGGGTTTCTATATTTCTACATACCTTACTGGCAACTAGTTGTAATTCAACATTTTTGGGAAAATAGCAATGAAATGGTTAAACCACCTTAAAAAATCATTATGGTAGTCAAATCATCTAATTTAACTCCAGGATACTTACACATTAGGTTTCATTTCACTTGAGGACCTTTCTAAAAATATATTAAAAATAGTTAAGTTGCCTTACATCATGATTGGAACCCTGAATGATTAATGACACTTCACTAAATTTTGACCCATTTGGCTTGGGTAATATAATATCCATTCTTGTTCAAGGTTAGTAACACTGAATAAGTGTTTACAATGGGAAAAAGTGAGTTATGTATCGTTGACCTAAACAACCAGGGGTATAATATATTAATCGTCTAATATTATTTTTATATTAATTATTTTCACTGGAAGCCAGGTTTTAATTTGCCTAGATTAGATTTTCTTAAATATTATAAGAGATTCTATTATTTATAAAGTATCAATTTGATAACATTATCTCATCTTTTTTAGATTCAAAAAAATATTTGCTCTCTCCTCATATACACGCCATCTCTCTCTCGATATATATATATATATATATATATCGTCCCTCTCAACACTCTTTTTTCATCATAATTAAAATAAGTGCAATCATTTATATGTTATAACGATATTAATTATAGTTTTATTAGTAATAAAAATAAGCATTATACAAATTCTAACTTAATATTATTAATTTATTTTAATATTATAATTATATAAATTTTCATATAACTATTCTATTTTTTACCAATATAATTTATCGATAATTGTTTAAATTATTATACTAGTAATTGTTATAATGTTCAAACTCAGGATATCGATAGATGCAATCAATTTTGTGATTCTAATAAATTGCAAAATTAATTAGAGCCCTAATCAAAAATTTGAATTCTACAATCATCTGTTAATAATATACAAATTCTATAGAATTTATTACTTCATATTAATTACAATGTACATATAATATTATCTTCTCTAAGTTGCCGTGATGTCGATGTTTATATATAGTTTAATATTCAGTTACATACTACAAAGAGAAAGGAATATATATGGCTTTGATTGTTATTGTCTTGAACACCAATATT